CCCCGCCCCGGGATCATGACCTGAGCTGAAGGCAGATGCTTAACCGACTGATCACTCAGGCGTCCCAGCGGGAGAGAATCTTAAGCAGACTCTGCACAGAGTGCAGAGCCCAATGTGGGGGCTCGATCTCAAAACCCTGAGATCATGACCTGAGCTGAAATCAAGGGTTGGTCGTTTAACCAACTGAACCGCCCAGGTGCCCCAGATTTTAAATTTTTAAAATACATTTTTTTTTAAGATTTTATTTATTTACTTGACAGAGAGAGACAAAGTGAGAGAAGGAGCACAAGCAGGGGGAGAGGGAGAGGCAAGCCTCCCACCGAGCAGGGAGCCAGACGCGGGGCTTGATCCCAGGACCCCAGGATCATGACCCAAGCCGAAGGCAGACGCTTAACGACTAAGCCACCCAGGCACCCCTTAAATACATTTTTAATAAGCTTTCTTTTATAGGTGTGATAACTAAGGCTATTTATAAGTCCAGTGAAGAGGATAAAAAAGAAGAAGAGGTGAAGAAAACATTAGAACAGCATGACAGTATTGTGACTCACTACAAAAATATGATTCGAGAACAAGTACGTACTGATAAATTGTAAACACTGTCTGATGTACTGATACTTTTCTACTTTGGGGAAGAATTTTTCCTGGCATTTCATATGCAAGAAGATACAGAAAGTAAAGCTCATTTTCCTAAATTCAAAACTATCTGAGTATTCAACAAACTGAGAGCTTAATATTGTGCTAAGCATTGTGCAGGATGTGGTGGATAAAGGCATGAATCAGACATGTTCCCCTATCACGGTCATAATGAGAGAAAACTATAAATAGGGTATTGTGACACACATAACATACTAAGTCTAGTGATGCAGCTCCTGGAAGGTGTGTGCCAGCGGAGAGGCACCTAATTTAGCTAGGTAAGAGCAGGGGCTTGGAGAAAACAATGTGAGTGCCAAACGGATAGCTATGAATACGCTGCGCAAAAGGAAAGATCGGGAAGAGGGGCAGGAATGTTACTGGCATGAACATAGAACAACACTTGGTGGCTGCACCAGCTAGAAATTTGAGAGGCAAGGCCAGAGGGAGGGACCTCCAGAAGGAGGTGGTTGTGGTGGGCTAGGGGAGGGACCTGGGGTGCTGATGGTGTTAACAGCCGCTGTGTTTTGTTTATTGTGTTCTAGGTGCTCACAAAACACAGTTTAAACACTATTTCATTTAATTTCCATAGCATCCCTACAAAGTAGTTAATATCTTCATTTAAGACTAAATGAGGAATCTGAGACTGAGAGAATTTAAACTTGTCTAGGGTCACTCAGTGGTTGGTGGAACAGGATTCAAAAGCGTGTGTTACTGGGACTCTCAAAACTCCTACTGTGTGCTGTAGAGGGGGCAGACCTGAGAAATGTGGAAACCAAAGTGGATGAAAGTGGCAGGACGGGGTAATGATTGGATGTGGGTGTGAGGGAGCATAACGGGTCAGATATGATCCTGAGATCTCCGTCTTGCACGACTGAGTAGATGATGCTGAGAACAAGAGGGAGCTGATGTATTAGAGTGGAGAATGGAAACTACCCTCTCGAAATCATCAATTGACGTTTTCTCGGCAGGATATCAGAACCTCCACGCTTGGATTGTGTTGAGCCCCTTAAACTTTCCATTACATTTCTTCAAAGTGTGTTGCTTTTTTTTTTAATTATATTTTATTATGTTAATCACCATACATTACATCATTAGTTTTTGATGGTAGTGTTCCATGATTCAAAGTGTGTTTCTTGTTCTTTTCTTTCATTTAATTCTTCGTCGTGGTATATACCTTGACTGGAATCCTAAAAAGTGCTGCAGTATTATCTGGAAAATGAGATTACTGAGGTTATTAAAATGCTAGGGTCATTAAAAACAATACACTGGTGGCTGTCCATGTGGGGCGGTTGCACCCCCTTCCCTGCACTGCCCTCCACCCCCTGCTGACTATGCATAGCTTGAGGCAAGTGTGGCAAGAGCTTGGGTAGAGCTCTCTAAATGAGAACTGCCTGTGTGTTCTTCCCCACAGTCTATATTGTTGAGATTGGAATTCTAAGAATAAAAATATAGTGGTATATTTAGCATTCAGTCTGAGCTTTTCAGTTTATAAGCAGATCAGTAAATTAGAATCATCTTTGAGCGATTCAGATTTAAATCATTAAACTACCCATGGTTATTAGGATATTTCATCTATATTTTAGTACAAATATGGAGTCATTTCCAGATGGTAAAACGTAATATCTTTAGAGCAATGGAAAAGAAATACTTGGAATGTGATGTTACAGCCTACGCTTGGGGCTGATAAATGTGGTTAATTTAGAAGAAGAAAAGAGTGATTTGACACAATTACCATAATGAGTCTGCTTTGGAAATGTTAATTTTAAATATTCTCACCATTTAAAATGCCATTTGACAATTAGGCAACAAGCATTGAGAACTATAAAATGTTTATATAAACTGAATGACGTTTGAGAATCCATCCTAAGGAAATTCTTCAGAATTCAGGAAAACAAAAATATGACTATGATATTTATTGTAATAATATTTATTATTTAGAAAAATGGAAAGCAGCCTCGGTGTTGCTTTTAAATGTAAATTATATTGCATCTACTGATATTGAGTAAACATTAAAAGTTACGATTGTGAAAAACTAGCAGTATGAGGAACTAACAATTGAATAGTAAGTAAAGGCTACCAAATGACATATGGACTGAGTATGACACATTTAAAACACTTGAACTGGGAAAAAATTAGCAGAAGATAAAGAAATAGATCAAATTCCAACTAGTTATATTAGGATGGTGAGAGTTGGAAGTTCTTTTCTTGGCCTTTTAAATATTCTGTTCTAGAATTATCTTTTATGTTAAAAGTAGTGTAGATGCATGTATATATATACTAAGTTTCTTAAATAGTTTGGTATAAATTTCTTAAGTGGTTTGATGGACCATAAAATGGAGTTTTTAAAATTGACCGTCCCCCACCCCAGTAACTGCAGTGAGATTGCAGGCTGTGCCATGGTGCTTATTAATGGGGCCTTACTGGAAATTGTACAGTTGTGCTGCATGTTAATTGACCTTGGTGCATACATTAATGTATTATTACTTAATTGTTGAGTGATTCTGGAAATGTTGAATACTTTAACACTATGACCCAAAATAATCTCTGATTTTTAATTTGTTCCTTTTCCTAATGCTGATTAGTATAAATTAAAACACTTGAATTATGTTTTGTTTCACAGGATCTGCAACTTGAGGAATTAAAGCAGCAGATTTCTACGTTAAAATGTCAAAACGAACAGCTCCAGACAGCAGTCACACAGCAAGTATCTCAGATTCAGCAACACAAAGATCAGTACAATCTTCTTAAAGTACAGCTAGGTAGGTATAGCTAGCCATAATTATTACAGTGTCCCCAGAGCTGGACTAAATCAAGTAGATTATTCTTGTGGACTGGTCTTTCTCTAACCTTAATCACTGTAACAAACAAATTTGTAAATCAGAGTTTGAACTCCACGTCCTTGCTACCTGTTTCAGTATCTGATCCATTGATTCTCAGCCTTGGCTACACGTTAGAATATCCTGAGACCCTTTTTTTTTTTTGAAGAGTTTATTTATTTATTTATTTATTTGAGAGAGCACAAGCAGGGGGAGCAGCAGAGGGAGAGATGCGGGGCTCGATGCAGGGCTCGATCCCAGGACCCCAAGATCATGACCCAAGCCAAAGGCAGATGCTTAACCGACTGAGCCACCCAGGCACCCTCCCCCCCTTTTTTTTTAAATGCCACGCATGCGGAGACCCCACTCAAGTTTCTGATTTAATTAGTTGGGGTTGGAGCCAAGCATCAATAATTGTTACAAGCTGCCTGGGTGATTCCGATGTATAGCCAGCTGGGAGTGACTTCTCTAACCTGTCTATCTCCTCATCTGCAAAATGGAACTGATAATAGCATATGTGTCATCTGAGAATTAAATGAAATATATAAAATTTTAGTTAATTACCTGGCACATGATAAGAGTCAAATGCTTGTAAATAGTATCATCCTATAGTGCTATGATTGGAATGCTAGCTATTTAGAAATACAGTTTGTTTTATTTATATGAAGGTGACTAAAATTTTCAGAAAAAAATTACCTCTTTCACTTCCTTATTTATAACTATAATTTGTCAGTTATTTTAGTACATACAGAAAGCTATTCCTTTGTGAAGGTTTTAAAAGGGATTTTGTTTTCTCTTATATTTATTAACCAAATTGGAATTGAAACTGCTGTAATTTTTTTAAGATTTATTTATTTATTTTAGAGAGGTGGGGAGGAGCAGAGGGAGAGGGAGAGACAGAATCACAAGCAGACTCTGCGCTGAGCACAGAGCCCAACATGGGGCTCAGTCTCACGACCCTGAGATTATAACCTGGGTGGAAACCAAGAGTTGGACGCTTAACCGACTAAACCACCCGGGAGCCCCGAAACTACTGTAATTCTTAATTATAGATCACCAAACCATGCAGTTTAGTCTTATTAAGACTATGCTGTTTTTCTTCCCAGAAACCTGAAAATATCATCACTTCACCATTTCTATCAATACGCTGTTTTGCAAAAATGAAATGTGCTTATAAAAGTGCTGCCAAAGTAATTGAATTAAGGAAATTTTATATTTTTATATTTAAATCTTTTCATTCAAGAAATGAAAAACTTAAGGTTCATGCTGGCTTTTCAAATTTTATTCCTGTCTTAATAGGAAAAGATAATCAGCATCAAGGTTCTTACAGTGATGGGACTCAGGTGAATGGCATTCAACCAGAAGAAATTGGTAGGTTACGAGAAGAGATAGAAGAATTAAAAAGTAATCAGGAACTTTTACAAAGCCAGCTGGCTGAAAAGGACTCTCTGATTGAAAATTTGGTGAGTAAATGTTAAAAAAAATTTAAGAGGTCAAGAATAATTCTCATTATCCTGCTTGTTTATTTTCCTGGATCTCTTAAGCCAAAGTATCATAGTAAGGTTTTAGAATATGAGCTTTGGGGGGCGCCTGGGTGGCTCAGATGGTTAAGTGTCTGCCTTCGGCTCAGGTCATGATCCCAGGGTCCTGGGATCG